TCTAGTGGGCCCCCTAGGCCCTCTGTGGGGCCCGTTAGGCCCTCTGGGGGGCCCGTTAGGCCCTCTGGGGAGCCCTCTAAGCCCTCTAGGGGGCCTCCTAGGCCCTCTGGGGGGCACCCCAGGCCCTCTCGCGGGTCACCTAGGCCCTCTGTGCCGAGGAGTTGATGCCCCGAGAAAGGTGCAGCATCAAGCTGCGTAGAAGGATCGAGGGGCCCGCTTGTCATTTTGTATTTTGTAATGAATCTGCGAAGGCGGGGAGGAGGCTGTTAGGTGGCTGGGTGGATTGAAGGGGCCCTGAGGTGTTATGGGGGCCCCAGAATAAGAGGGTATCGGCCAAGTCAAGGGGGCCCCCACCAGCTGCTGGTACTCTTAAAGGGGGGTTCTTTGCTTAAAATAAGAACCAAAGAGAGACAATATATTGACAGAATGTGAGGCGTCAAGGCCAGAGCTGTACCCCACTTCAGAATCGTCGCTTGCTACTACTCCTGCTGCCGCTGCAGCTGCTGCTACTACTCCTGCTGTTGTTCCTGCTACTGCTGGTACTCCTACTCCTACTTCTGCTGCTGCTGCTGCTGCTGCTGGCGCTCCTCACACTCAAGGGGCTCTGGGTGTTGCACCCGTCGTCCAGGCAGAAATGGCTGGAGAGGAGCATCGGCAACTTGTGTGCATCTGCTGCTGCAGTTGTTTGTTTGGTGAGACTTTAAAATGATGATGAGAGTTGAAATGCTGTTTAAACTCGTCAAAGAATCGAGGGGTTGCAGCAAAGAGGACGGGGTTACGCCGAACAGACCAGACCAGCGGACCGCTGGTATCCGTGGTCCACCCCGGCCTCTCAGTTCTCTTTTCAGTCAGAAACCAAACAAACTTTAGATTAAAACTTTAGGGTCAAATGCAATAGGAAAGTAAAAAAGGAGAAAAAGAGGAGGAGAAGAGCCCTGCGCGTCGGCGGCTGTGCCGTGGCCACACCGCCGGCTGCACGCCACCGGCAGCACCGCTGCGTTTCAAATATATGCAGATCGCGTT